TTAAGACATATAAAATAGGCTTAATGAAGTCCAAGTCTAAGGTCGTTGAACATTAATCTGTCAAAATAATCAATCTAAGTTTTTCTCTACCTTTAGGGTTAGGAAATTAGTTTCCTAGTAGGACTATAGCTCATACACGTTCTAGTTGTTTTAAAATATAAACGAGCACGTGATATTTATATATATTAGGTGTGAAGATAGAAACCTTAAACACTTTAAAAGAAAACCCTAGCCACCTTGAGTGGAAAGTGATCTAATCTTTAAACACCATAACTCATAGCTAGTTTGACTTGAGGTGATTCTCCATTTTAGAATTATTCTGGTGATTGAGACATTCGTCCGGATACCAATAGAGGTGCATTTCGTAGATCTATACTTGTGATTTAGACATCCTTCACACAAGAGACATGATTTGTGCTACAAGGGGTAATGGTCTAATCCTCCGACTTTGTTGTTTTTGCATGAATCTTATGGTATTTTGAAGTAATTTTTTTTTTATATATGACATTATTTTTGCTGCATCAATTCTTTTTGTATTGCTTCGAATCCCTAAAATGTGATGAATTGTTGTTGTTTTAGCGGCAGTTAATCCGTTGCTAATTTATCGACGGTTTACAAAAAACCATCACTAATGATTTAGCAACAAGGTTTTTTTGGATAGATTTATATCATCATTAATAACTATTAGCAATGATTTTTTAGAATTTAGCAACGTTTAAAACAATCTATAAATCCCTTTATTTTGGTAGTGTATGGTGAGTGATGGTGTTGGTGGTGACGAGTGGTGAATTGGTGGTGGTTGTTAGAGGAGTAGTGGTGTTGAAAGGTTATGATGGGATGTTGATAAAACAATGGTTACATTAACAACAAGATAATGGTTGTAGTGGTTTCGGTAGTGGTGGTTGACCATGGTGGGTCGGTGGTGGTTGTTGTTGTTATGGTATTGGTGGTAATGTTAAAAGTGGTTATTGAAGCAATTAAGTTATGATATTGGTGAATATTGTGAGTTGTTAATACTAAAAAAAAAAAAAAAAAAAAAACTATTTCCCCTTTTTGTGAGGTTAAGGTATTTTCTTTCAAATAGGCATTATTTTATGGATTAATTGAAAAGGATTTTCCATTAAAATAAGTGCTTGTTTTGCGATGGAAAAATGAGAATTTTCCTCAAAATAAAAGACTCTAAATTTAATGAAATCCTCAAAATGCTAAAGAAAAATTAAAATCAAACATTTGAAAAATGCAACAATTTATTTAAGTATATCTAGACTTTCATGCTTGATTGATATTAGTAAAAGAATAATATCTATTTAAGTTGACAACAAAAATAAAATTAAAAACACCACTATGAAAATGGAGGAGGATGAAAGAGAAATGAGAGAGGGTTTTAGATATAAATGAAGAAAATATAAAGACAATTATATACGAGTAAAGAAAAATTGGATTATTTAAATTTATTAAGATTTGAGGCATTTAATAGGATAAACATAATAACAACTCTTTTTTGTTAGGAAACTAACTCTTAGAATTTGTAATAATTAATGAAATTTCCTATGAAAGTGCAAATTTAACCCAATCACATTGCTTTTTTGTTTTTTCAATATTTGAGGGGGCTCCACCAAGTAAAAGATTATGGTATTATATTGTCAAATAAACTTGGCTTCACCTAGCACAACTAATTTTGTGAAAAAATTAATATATCCCATAACAATAATATTTTATTTACTAAACATATAGTATTTATTAAAAAATATTTTTCATAATTTACAAACTTTATTATAATAACAATTTTTTTTTAATCTTATCATAATAATATTATTGAACTCATATTTTACTATCCAATTGCTAATATAATATTTTGATGTTCAAGTATTATATTATAATAGAATACAAGAGGAAGGTGACATCAGCATAGAGTACGTTTATTCTAAGGAAATTTTATTTAATATGGCTTTATATATCATATGGTGTTATAAAAGAAATGATAACTATAGTAGAATTGAAGAGAAAGATTATAGAAAAATGAATTCACTATAAGATAAAGTGAATACAAGAAATAATAACTCCAAATAATCTCTCAATCTCTACAAAGTACTTATGCATAAACTAGTGAACAATCAAGCCTATTTATAGGCTTCAAGATTAAGAAGAGAATTTGAAAGGATTATGAACCATTAAAAGATGCATAAATAATTGAATAAATTGCTTCACCCTTTCAATTTTTCATATTCGAGTGGAGAATTGAATTATATGAATAATGAGGAATATGAAATGAACATTCAATATTTCATAACATATGGATAATTTTCAATAGGTTTTTAATAAATAAATAAATAAATAAAAGCCAATAGAACATTTTTGTTAAATCCAATAAATCTATTAAAAAAAAACTATCCAAAATATTCCTAGCCTACATTAATGACAAAAATATGCACATTTGAAGATTGTAGATGAAATGGTAAAAAAAATATATTTTTTGATTCATTAGTTTTAATTTAATTAATAATTTATTTTTTTATCGGTTTTTCATTAGATTAGTAATTTTTTTTTAAATTATCCTTTTTTTTATTTTTTTTCATTTACTCACTCTTTTTCTTTTTATACAATCAAAAATTAAAATAATATAATTTAGAAATAAAAATTATTAATTTAACAAAAAAAATTATAAAAAGAATAAGTTATTGGCGAAATTAAAATATATAAGATGAAACAATTAGTTTTTGAGACGAAAGATACTAATTGATTCGTTTCCCTGAACAAGAGGTACTAATTTAAAATTTACTCCTCCTTTTCATATGCCCACTTACCAAACGGAATTTTTGTTCACTCGCTCTGCCCTCTTCTCGCTCTCTAGGCCGTGTGGTTTAGGGTTTTAACGTCTCTACGGTTACCATTGTCTGTGCCCAAAATCCCTCGAGAGCTTCACAGCCATGGCGAGCACCAAAGTCCAGCGTATTATGACCCAACCCATTGTACGTCTTGTTACATCTTATTATTTTTTCTTTTCTTTTCTTGAGTTTTAATATTTTCTCTGTTTGCTGACGTAGCCTTTTCTGTTGTTCTTATTATGAATTTTCGCTGCTCCAGAACTTGATTTTCAGGTTTCTTCAAAGTGTAAGTCACTTTTTGCCTTATTTTACTGATTTTCGCTTCTGGGTCTGCTTAATTTGTGTTGTTTATTAATGGGGTGTTGAATTTTAAGCTGATTTTTTCTTTTCTATTTTGTGGGTACAGAAAGCTCGCATTCAGATTTGGCTTTTTGAGCAAAAGGATTTGAGGATTGAAGGCCGAATTATTGTAAGTTGTACTGACAAACAAAAGTTTATCTTGATTTGTTATATATATATATATATATATATAACAAATTGTTATAGTTTGGTAGTTTGTGCATTACTGAGGAGCATGGCGTTCATACAATAGAGTTGATACTGGCTTTTCGTGTGCCCGTTGTGGTAGTTAGCTGCTTAGGGAAGCAGAGTATCTGCTTATGATTAATGGTCTGGGAAGATAATATTCTATAAGTTTCTTGATTAGAATATTGACATTCTGAACTTAATTGTTCTTATTTTATTTGACATGCTGCATAGTCTGTGTACTATAAATCTTATAGGATTTTTGCATCTGCATGATTGATACTTTACTATCATAAAATGCTTCAATCTTGCTTAAAATTGTCGAACCACCTCACATACATTCTATTGATAACATTGTCTTTGATCTCTTCTTTTGACGTGCTTGAACCTATGCTTTTTTTGTGGTCAATTGAAGGTAACTCATATCTGATCTACCTAATCTAACAAGTAACAATAGTGCTGTCTATTAAGGTGTTGATGCAGTTTTTTTTTTTTTTTTATATATATCATATATATATATATTACTCACACATCCAAGGCTCCTAGCAGGCCTGCTAGGATTTGAACCCATGACCTCTTGTTGCAAGAGATCACTACCACTGGGCTACAAGCTCTGGAAACCCTTTAAATCTCTTGCTCCTCACAACTCCAACCTCTTTTTTATTCCAATTATGGTTTTGTCAATCAGAACTAACTGTCAACGAACTCCATGCTCCATTGGTTATCATTTTTGAATTTGCATAGTTAACTGGTTTTTGCCTTAGAAAAAATTAAGAATGAAGGCAAGGAAAAGCCTTGGTTGGACAATTGTACTTGGGATGACATCCATAGGTTCTCATACCGAACAATTGTCTCAGTAACTATCTCTTTGAATACTTATCTTTACCCCCACTTATTTATTGGACCAAATTATTTTGTTCTCCAACACCCACTTTATGACTTTTCCTAGTACATATGTATTATCCTATATGCACATCAATGAAAATTGTTTTGTTTCCATCTCCCTCACCATTCCCATGTGTCCTCATGGAAACAGAGTCAAGAACCAACACTGTTTTTATACCTCACTGTAGAAAAGAATTGGGCAGAGATCTGTCATACTTCTAGGGGCTTGTGTGGTGATAGGGGAGCCAAATTTGCCAGTTTAATGATTTGTTTGGATACCATAAATACGCTACATGACAGTGTCACAATGCATTAGGTCTTGAGGTAAGTGCCACAACCTTATTTCCTTGAAAGCAATTCTCTTCTGAGCTCAGTGTTGCATAAAAAAACAGCTATCAAGGAACCAAATAATCTCCTCTTATCTTTGCTTTTCGTGACTTAAAAACTTTCTCAAAGCAAGCATCTTATATCTTTTTTTCCACCATCTCTTGGATTTGGATAATAAAGAGGAAATGAGGATTGGATATACCTCTCTACCAATCCATTTGTTTGGAAATTAGGCCAAAGAAGCCCGATAGGCAACAGATTCCCATCAAGAACTTCTCGATTAGTCTTTGGCCATTACTGTATTGCTTATCTGTCAGAAGATTCGAAAGAATATGCCATCTATGCAACACTGCTTTTATACATGTCATGGAATTTTTTTCAAGATGTTGCAGTATTGGCAGCTCATCTGGAAAATCTTCTCCATCTCCTAAAGTTAAAATGGTAATGTGTTGTCAACAAGCTGCGATATGATCCCCTATTTTTATAAACTCTTTATAAGACCTTTCTCCGCTTCTGTTGTTTTACTTTAAGAATATACTACAACCATAAAAAATGAGAGAAGATAAAGGATTGACAATCTGATCAGAGTCAACACTCTGACCTCATCATTCAGTTTGCATAATAGAACTCTTTCTTCTGGTTGCACCTCCATGAAATATCTTTGTATTGCCATAGTCTTTTGTAAATAATCAAAGTCTACTTTTATGTGTTGTGCTAGTCTTCTCTTCAACTAAAGCCTTTTGACTAATTTTTCAAGAAGATAGGAACACGGATCCTCAGAATCAGAACAGAACAGTTGTGTTGATTCTCCCTGCAAACTCATCCTTTAAAAGGCTTGAACCCAATTTTAGATGACTAGCTTCAAGAACCAGAGGAAAATGATCAAATATAGGGTCTATAATGTATTAGAAGCTCCTTTAGTTGGTCTTGTTTTGAATGGGTACTGCACTTTGTTTTTCATTCCTTTTTGGTGTTCGTATTCTATTTCCAGGAACATATTCATTTATGGCTACATCCTATCTTCCCCTTCCTATATCACATGTGAGTTATTGCTTGCGTTGCAAGGTGCATTTTATAAGCACTGTTTCCCATTGCACAGTTCTCAAATTGATATTGTAATTTATTGCACATTTATTGATAATAATTAGACATAATCAGATAAAAATTAATATGCATTTCAAGTGGTTTGAGTGGTTTTATGAACAAGTGGTGTTTGCTTTGAATCTGCATAAGAATCTAAACTTTCAAATTTCAAGTGTTGAGTGTAAAGTATATGTATAACTCAAGTTCTTGCTTATGCTCCTGTGTTGTGATTAGTAATGTTATTTGTGGCTTTACACAACTACCTCTGAGGATGATATATGTAAGTGCGTAATTTGGGACTACTCATCTGCCCTTTAGCAGGTTTAGGACTCTCAGGTGCTTTAGGGATGAACAAGTCCCTTACAAGTAATCATCATTCATCCAATTCCCCTTTTGGATTTCTTGCTGAACATTAGAGGATGGGAATTGCTTATAATTTTTGGTTTCTGGATACTTCTTTTGTGAGACTTGCACATATAAGCTTGGAGCATATCCATGGCCAGTTTTTTTTACTACCTTGTTCTGTTCTGAGTTACTCTGGCATATTTATGGCTGGCAGGGCTTTGATGAGTACATGAATTTGGTTTTGGATGATGCTGAGGAAGTCAATGTCAAGAAAAAGAGCAGAAAGTCTTTAGGTAATTCATTTTTGTAACCCTTTTCCTCTTCTTTTGTTTGTGTATGCTCTAAAATATATCTTTTATGTTTTGCAGGAAGGATTCTTCTTAAAGGAGACAACATTACTCTGATGATGAACACGTAAGTTGAACCGAAACACTTGATACTTTCTCTCTCTCTCATATATTCCTAATGATTTTATTTTTCTACATAACAGGGGAAAGTAATGGTCATTCCTGGTTCTGGTTCTTTAAGAGGAGGTTGAGTGGAACAGCCTTGGGCAACAAACATTATTAGGTTATGAATGAAAAACATATTCTTGTAATGAGGTGTGTCTTTCCATTTGACTTGACAATGTAACTTCTCGATTTTAAGCAGTGCTAGTAATTATCTTTGTGCTTGTCAGGGATACCAATTTTTTATCAGATGTACTGATGTACTTGAACCATGAAATGTAGTATGCTCTGTACTGTCTTCTTCTCAACCTTGGTGAAGTTCTTCCCTGGGAGAGACCCTGTATAGTAGCTTTACATTTCTTGCATGCATGCATTTTCGTATGATGTTAGCATCTAATTTGCAAAACATGGGCATGTGACTTTTCAGCCACATTTCAGAACATAGAAATCTTGATTACTTGGCTTCTTAGATGGCAAACCTCCATGTGATGGGTGCAGGGTTATCCATAATCTTACCTTGCTTGTTGGATTCACAGGTTCAGGGTGCTGGGGTTGCATTTGTTTTTGTTTTATTTTTCTTGTTTTTTCGATCCTCTTGTGCTAACCCAACAAGCTCACCCACTTTCTCTGCATTTCCTACATGGTATGAAATATTGCATCTAATTTGTTTTGCAGCACAACTGGGTTTTGAGCTTCCTTTACTTGGGCTCTAGTTGGTGTTGTTGCCCAACAATGTAAGCGGCCCATGTCAAGCCCTGAACAAGCAGGTGGCAGTTTTCTTGTGTTTCGACCAGTGCTTTGGTGATTGAGAATGCAGCATTGTGAAAAATGATCTTTACGCCGCATTCTTAGAAAACCCCTTGCTAGCAATCCGGAGTCACAGCACTGATAAGTGGACAATGGAGGTAGAAAGGGACAGCTATTCACTAGCCCGGCCAAGCGGGTAGCTTTCTTGTGATCAATACAGGTCAAGCAAGGCAGGGTATAGGAAGAAAATGACTTGTGCTGTGGGGTGCAAGACGATAGGATCCATGGTACTGGTCCTGGTGCAATTGTGTTTCTTGATGACATCATATGGATCATGTGTCTGCTAATAGGGAAGCAAGTGCTCTGACCTATTTTGTTCTCTTTCCACTCACTATGCGTTGATGATTACTGACTCAGCCTCCACACATCTCATATCTTAGCACAAACTATATATCAATGCTTGTTTGTTTGCTTGTTGGTATTATGGATCTTCACGTCCCTTCCAACTTGGCAAAGGACGACGAAAAAAGTATAAATATTCCTACAAAGATTTTTTGTCCGTCTTGTCGAAAGTTGTTGATCAGAGACCTCATTAGGTTTCTGCTTGGACCGAGAGGAACCTTATATTCCAAATTTCCAATGCTTAAGGATCCATTGCCCAATACTTCTGTATCTTTCCCGCTTCTTTTGGCTTCTGTCGTGAACTAAGTAGATTCTTTGATGCTGCATTTAGTTTTACAAGTGAAATCTTCTCTCTTTGGTCCTAGGGGTGACAAGCCATATATTTATTAAAAATTGCTGCAAAACCTATTATTTCAAAACACGATGACAGCCATGTTTATGGACCCTATCCTTAGTCCTTAGACATGGCAATTTTGCATTGCTATAGGGCGTAATGCTTTCAATTCTTGTTTCAAATGTGCAGGAACGTTGTATTTGCTCTCCAACCCTAATGTACGGATGGGTCATTAACAAGGAGGCCGGGCATAAAATTTACTGATGAGACAAATAGGGAAAACAAAACCATGCTCTACAGAAGCGTAATTAAACAAACATGCATCTCTCTGAGAAATGGACTTAGTTTCTCACAATGGATCGGTACCACTGACTAAATTTAGGTCTTGTTGTAGTGTTGCTTTCATCTTACCCACCCTCAGAAATTATTAGTTAGTTGCCACATCTTTCCATGGAGGAGAAGGGCAATAGTCCTTATAGTTTCCTGAAAACATTTTCTCATTATTGATGGATAGTTGCTGAGATTCTCTCTTAATTTGATTGTGACTCTTCCTTTTCTTTCCCTTTTTTTTTTTTTTTATTAATGCCCTGCTTTTTGTTGGGATGTAGGGTCTATCTTCTCTATAAGGGCACTGATGCCCCACGCTAGAAGACAATAACACAAAAATCTTACCAAAAACAATCCTTAAAATATTTTGCTCTCTCTTTATTATTATTATTATTAATGTATTCCAATTTTAATAAGAGTTTTTGATGAAGATAAGACTTAAATATAAAACCTCGTCCCTCTTTCTTGTGCAAGAATACCATCAAACTACAAGTTGATTGATTGATAAAACTATGGTACTTTGAATTTATTGACTGAGCACTCGATTTAGATTCTGCAACCATGGGATGTAGTTAGACCTTATACATTGCAAATGCAAAAGACAATTATTTTGTTTGATTGAAACGGGATAAATCGGCTCAAATCACATTTCTTCTTGAGGGTCAATTTGATCTTTGAACTATCTTGACGATCGATTCATGTTTTCTTATTCTTATGAAAGCAACACGCCCCCTTCGCCGCATTTATATTCTAGTTTAAGGGAACTTTTGGTATTGATATCGTCAATCAAAACATACAAGACTTGAATGACGAAAGAACAGGAAATTTGGACCTCAATATCTAACATATATTCCACCAAGATAAATATATAGCTACACACACATGTATATATATATATATATATGTATATAAAATTTTGCGCGCCCGTGTATGCATGCCATTAAGAACATTCTTTCACGTCAATGTCGATATACCCATTTCTTAGGCAGAAGATGCGCCAAATGATGCTCTTCTCTGAATTTTATCAAAAAAAGAAGAAAATAAAAGAAGTGGTGTCACCAATATGATAGTAAGTGCGTGTCCTTGAAGAATTTAGAACACCATCTCTCGTAAACTTAGTTGAAAGAAGATAGGATGTGGTTAAAACTGGATTTTAATTTCTTGGTTACCAAACAAGGCATGGTAGGGCAAAATCTTGGCTGTTTTGTACCTTGACGGATATCTGGTTCTGGTCCTTCCCTATTGATTTTTAGTCTGTGTTATAGGAATAGATTGGGCCAAAATGCTTTTAAGACCTTGTTGCTCTTTTCAGGGCAAATCACATGGTGACTTCGGGTTTCTTTTTTGGATCATATCATAATATTTCCTTACTTGATGGGGTCAGATGTTTTTTTTAAAAAAAAACCTATCTCTTTCAGAATTCAGGTTTTAGGGGAAAAATGAAAAATAATGTGTTAAAGTCTTTAATTGTCCATAGATTATATGGATTTAGGTGAGTGTGATCATGTATTATTATTATTATTTTAGTTTATTATATCCTTCAGCTATATATATATATATATATATAAATATTGACACTTTAAAAATAATAGCTAGCAGCAACGTTGCTTTAAGTTCAATACAACATTATCACAGAAAACTTGGGCAAATTATTCTCTTGTACTGGTTCTACATTTTGACAACTGTGGACCCAATAGCTTGAAATCTGTTTGACCTGGCTGATCGAATTCTGTGCTTTCTTTTGTTTTCTTTTTGCCTGTGCTTGTGTTCAGCATCTTTGTTGGACGTTCGATAAAATTGAGAAGATTTCTTTTCTTTTTTTTTTTTCCCCACTTATCCCAACTCTAAAACCTCATATTAATTGATCACTATTTTATGAGACACATGAAACAAAAATAACTATTTAAAAAATTTTATATTTATACAGAAACTCAAATTCAAAATTACTTATTTAATGGAATAAAATTCTTTCTATTTAAAGTAACATTTTGACATAATTCAGAAGATTTTTGTTCTCTTATGTATTGCAACTGAGCCTTTTTCTGCTGTTATTGTGCTCATTTTTCCATAAATAAAAATGCTCAATCTTAATTTGGTTTCAATTGTATTCATCTGGTCTTTATATATATATATATATATATATATATATATATATATATATATATATATGTGAGGCGCATTAGCAAACTATATTAGTTAATCAAATAAAACACCCTTTCTATTGAAAAAAATCACAACGTTATTTCTTTACTATAGAAAAATAATTAAATTCGTCTTAATTAAAAATAAGGAAAAAAAAACCATCGTAGTTGGAAAAAAAAAAGATTAACGATTTTTTATTCCTCCTCCAATATGTTTGAAAGTTTCTAGAATTATCTTTCAATAATGCTAAAAAACCTTTTTCATCTAAAAAAACTTATCAAAATATTTTTCTATCTATAAAACTGAAAACTAAAATTATTCACAATAAAAAATTCAAATGTCTAACCCTCATTTAAACCGTATACCATTTGGGCTTTGGTACAAAAAATTAGCTTGGTTGATTATAGAAAATTATAAATACAAAAATATTTTAATGGGTTTTTGAAAAGAAAATTATTCATAACACTATATTTCATAAATACTTGAAATAATCAAGTCTTTTTTCGTTCATCTTCTTTCTTCCTGAAATGTGAACATGAAGCAGCTAATTGCTAATAAAAGCTTTCAACTTCTTCACGGCAGTACGTACCGCAAGCTAATTAATTTGATCATGAAATGTTAGGTGGCACAGTTTGCTAAAATAAAAGCTACTATAGCTAGCAGCTGAGGTTTTTAATTCAAGAAGCAACGTCCAACAAAGCAATTAAGATCGAATCAGCGCAAAGGTCAATTTATGTTATCTGTTACAATGCCTTTTATTGAATTTCTACATCATGACAATCACAGTGTAATAATTTGGCAGCACTGCCGATACCTAGCGTAAACAGTTCTTACACCTTTCCTGGCCATGAATCTCATGATCATCCCAATTTTTCTGGGATACATAATTTTTCTGTTATATATCTATCCCAGAAAAAGACAACTCCCATATATATGCTCACCATAAACACATCAGTGAGGATAACAATGAACTTATTCGCATGTATCCAGCATCGTTGATTATTTGTCCTCAGCAATTAATGACAGGAACAATCCCAACATCTTTTACGGTTATTGTAAGGTTATGCACAACAATATAAATGATAAGGGTTTTAGGAAACCAATCAAGTGAAAAATAAAACAAAAAAATAAAAATAATCATATAATATAAAGATTTACGTGATTCGATGATTGTACATACTCTATGGTTGTATTAAGATTTATTATTAGGTTTTTATCAAGTTGCAGTCTAATAAATACAAGAGATATTGTCTCTATTTATAACGAGAGCATCGAGTTGGCTCGCATAGTGCTCTAAACTACAAGCCCATCTATATTAGTCTCCACAATTTAACAATGACTTGAATTTTAAGATAATTATTTATAACGAAATCGTCGTGTATGTAGCACCTTAAATTGCGAATCACATCTATATCGATCTTCGATCTCCACAATTTAACAAAAAGAATTTAATATAGATTGATGTATAACTATTCTAGTTGAATGATATATATATATATATATATATATATATATATGAGAGAGAGAGAGAGAGAGAGAGAGAGAGAGAGAGAGAGAGAGAGAGAGAGAGAGAGAGAGAGAGAGAGAGAGAGGTAAAGAAGAGATGATGAATAATATTTTCTCATTCATAGATATATGTTGTAGTACATGTTTCTATTTGTAGTGATACAAGTTTTGTATGTATAAAACTCTATACGATAACATACAAAGTGAATCTATCTAGCTTTAATCTTATCTTCAAGTATAACTAGTTGAGCCTTGTACGGAGTCTTCTACCGTAAGAGTTGATGTCCGCATCTATGACTTGTCCTTTGTCATGCCCAATGAAGAATTGATTACTATAACGGAGGTTTGACTTAATACTCCCTTTCAAACCGATAGTGGGCATTTGCCAAGTGTGATTGTGTCTCTTAAGAAACTAAAACCGTGCATTGGAGAAAGGTTTTGTCAAAATATTTGCAATTTGGTCCTAAGTGGAAATATACTAAACATTCAAGCTCCCTCTTAATATCATTTCTTTGATAAAATGAAAATCAATTTCACATAGTTGGTACGTGCATGAAAGATAAGATTTATTGCTAGGTGTATTATCCGAACATTGTCACATTAGATGATAGGTGAAGAATTTTGAGAGACACCTAATTCACCTAATAGAGTAGCAC